ACATCTCATGAAACTATTGAAAAAGACCGCCTGGTTTCCTGGCCACCAATGCTCCAAATCAATGGAGGCCAACCTTTTTGATTGGCCAACAGACTAATAATAATAACAAAAATAGCAAAGATTTATGCCATAAATCAAGAAATAGTCAATCAAGAAACATTTATTTTGTTGGCCAACCAAATGTTCTAGATTAGTTGATCATTCTGGTCACGGCTCCTCTGAGACCGTGCAGTGCATAAAATGGCCGTTACGTTTACCTACACTGCCTACGGGTGTCAGCCTGGCACAGTTAGCGCTCTCGCCACAAGGTTGGGGGGTGTTCAAGCCTCACGTCAGAACTTTCTACTCACGAGTCCAGGCTGACACTCCAATGCAGTGTTGGGAGGAGCGTTGCTTTGTTGGAGGTGCTGTCCTTCAGACAAGATGTTAAACAGAGGTCCCATCGGTGTCTGTTCAAGTGGACGTTAAAGACCCCGCGGACCTATTCAAAACGTGAAGAGTTTTTTTTTCTCTCTCCCGGTGTCCTGGCCGACAATCCATAAAGTTGGTCTTTTATTTTGTATCTGTTTGTGAGATGTTGCCTTTCTTGCACAAGTTAACTGCCACATTCACCTACAAAATATACAGTCTACAGTATATCCTGTGTGCAGCTTTGAGACATCCTCCCGACGGGAAAGGCTTTATATCAATAAGGAGGTAAGGCCCAGGTTTGATTGAACAATGCAACGATTTAGAGTTTAGAATGTATTCCATAAACATTGCAAGAAACTCTATCACAATCCCAGCTGATATTTTATTAGGAGTTTATGACATTTGAATTGTTTTTTTATTGAAAACAGACAATGATGGAATGTTGAATAGAGTATATGGTCCTGAAAAGTACGTCTCAAAGGGGACTTTATAGAAGATTTTCCATGGGTTTGAGAAAGTAATAATAATAATTATAAGCCTCACATCTGTTACACGCTGGGAGAAGGTCTTATTAGCTGCATAGGATTTACTGTTAAGCATAGTGACTGTATTTTTTAGGTAAAATCCTTTTTGGAGGCAGAGAGAGAGAGAGGACGTGAAGTCAAGGGTTTTGGAAGAGAGTTCACTATACGGCGGTTTGTCAGCACCTTGTGACGTCCTCCCGATGTGAAAGGCGCTATACAAATGTAATCTTGTGTTGTTGTTGATGGATGTCAATGTTTGCAAATCAGCTACTGTGTTTGCCTTCAAAATGAACAGTCATTACACTCAACAGTTTATCCCGAGAAGTGCTTTGGGACACTGTCCCGACATGAAAGATGTTGTATCAAATGCAAGGATGATTATTTTTTATTATGTCGAGTTTCAGAGAGGGGAGTCATAATGGTTGAAGATCTGGCCACTGATGGTGGGATGGAGCAAGAGAGGCGTCCGGAGAGCAGCGTCAGAAGAGCGGAGGGCTTCACCTCCTCGCAGGAGAATGGGGCTTGAGGAGATCGCATTGGTAGGGAGTGGCGAAGAGGTGAAGGGATTTGAAAATTATGACAAGGATCATCAAGTCTGAATGGTGAGGCAATGGGAGTCAGTGGAGGCAAGTAAGGATGAGGGAGGGTGGGGGGGTGGTTGCGGAGTCTAGCGCTGGACACATGAGCTGCAGAATTTTCAATGAGTTGGAGCTTTTGGAGCTAAGAGGCTGTCTGGGAGAGCGTTGGAGAAATCTGGTCTTGAGGTGATGACAAAATGGATAAGAAACAGCCCCACCATAAAGGGAATCAGGCCCTCACTCCCCTGACAGTTTAGATGGTGAAGCATCTGCCTAATGTGACAGTGACCCATGAATGACCCAAGAGAGGTAATTATTCATAGAATCACAGAACCTTTACAGCACAGAAGGAAGTGATTCAGCCCATCACGTCAGTGCTGGTGCGTACTTCCCCACTGGAGCTCTCTGCTCTGATCCCACTCACTGTCTATATTCTTTAATATTATTTTTCATCAAGTTTTTATTCCAAATCTCTTTCATTCCACTTTGACGGTACCCCTTGGAAACTAAAATTCAGGATCAAAACTAGAGACGTCACCTCCATCATCTCCAACCACCAAGGGCACAAACCCCCCACCGCGATTACCTTGACATATTTGCCTAAATGTCTCACTTAGCAGAGATTGAAAAGTGCCTCTGATTATCCGACAAACTTACTCCTAGTCCTTTTCAGGTTGGGCTGGAGAACTATCTCCTTGTCCCCAAAGCCAGGAGATCCTCTTCTCCCCTGTTCCTGAAGCACACAATTATGTTATTGACCTGAGAAGGGGGTCAACCAACTGAGCTGCTTTATGCCATTTGAACGCACACTCTGGAATCCCCAAGCCTTGGCTCTTGCCAAACTGTGCCTAATACTCTCCAGAATTAGCAGGAAGTGCCTCCAAGGTAGAGAGTCCGCATTCCATTCCAACAGCCTATCTCTGGAATTTCCATGTGTAGATCAGATGCATGAAATTCTCAGCTTGGTTTTGATACTCGTAAGTATGGTGATGGGTTTCCGCACGTGTCAGACACCAGGCTGAGTAAAAAATAAATGCCTTTAATGGAGCAGAGCCATGGTCTGATTTGCATTTTTTTTCATTAATAAATAGGCACTGAATATGTTTACGGAGAGATATAAAACTCTGCAGAGTTCTTCAATTTCCAAATAGTCTCAGTTTTATATGAGGTAATTCTGCTCTCAGTTGTTTAACATCTAAATAGTATTAATAATAATCCTCACATTTCACATAGCACTTCTCACATCAAGAGGACATCTCAAAACGCTTCACAGTAGTCATAGTAGTCGTGTATTTTTGCGGCTTGAAGTGAAAATAGTATCTACTGGGTGTTCACAAAGTCCTGTTGCCGCCATGGGTTTTTTTCACAGTGCACTGTCCAACAACTGAAGCATGTGGAAGAATGACGCGATTTGTATTTAGAAGTACTTGATTGTATTCAGTACAAGCGTTTAATTGTACTTGGAAGTCCAGAAGATTGGTGGGTGTGAGTGTCATCATTGTCATGGCAGATAATGATCCGTTGCCATGTTCGGTGTGACATCTTCCATACCGTGGATGGAGACGGTGAGGAGGAAGTTACTGGTGTCAGACATTGTTACACTCGACTCATCCGCAACAGAAAATTGAAGTTCATTGTAAGAAAAAAAACAGGGGGCAGGGGTAACAGGACCTTGTGAACACCATGTACAAAACGTTCACCAACAAAATACGCAATCACTACACTTTACAGTGAATCCTTTGACGTGCTTTGAGATGTCCTCATGTAAATTATTATTTATTACTTTTATTATTTTAATCTTTCACATTGGAGGATGTCTTGAAGCCCTTTACATAAGACAGCACAGGAGAACAGCGGCAACAATGTGCACTTACGTAGCACGTTCTATGTGGGATATGGTTCAAGAGATCGAATAATAAATGATAATAATAATACTTTGGTTTGATATAGCGCTTTATCACATCGTTGAGATGTCTCACAGAACGTACGCTTCACAGAATATGCTGTAAAGTGAATTGATTGTACATTTTATGAGTGAAACGCAGCACACAAATATGCATAGCAGTGTCCCAAAAACAGTCGTAGATTGAGTGACCAATTTTTTTTGAACCCCCAAAAAAACAGTCTGCCAATCGGGTGGGATAGGAGCGAGATGACCAAAAGTGCAGTCAGAAAGGTAGCTTTTTGCGATAATAAAAACTTTGGATTTGATGTAGCGCCGAATCTCATTGTCAAAGTAGCTCAAAGCACTTCACAGGATTTTTTGGCACAGTACAGTGATACTTTTTATTTTTGTGGTCAACAAGGCAGCCGATTTGCATACCGTCATTTCCCACAAACAGCCCAAAAAGTGAGTGAACAATCTGGGGATTGTCGGTTACGATACTGGCAGAAACTCCCTTGGTTTTTTGAATTGCGTCATGGGATTTTCAACTTCCACCTAAACTGGGACAGACGGAACTTTAGTTTAACATCTCAAGTGAAAAAGTTCCATCTTTGACAACGCAGCGCTCTTTCTCCCCACCCCAGCCCCAGTCAGCCCAGTTGGGACGGGAGAAATTAAGAGAATTTGCCGCAAGTAATAGCTTAAAATAAAACACACCTCAGAAAAGTGGCGTTTCGCCCCACAAAATGTACAGCCGCTACACTTTACCGCAATGTTCTGCGAAGCACTTTGAGACATCTCGAAGACGTGCTAATTTTATATCAAATGCAAGGATAATTGTGGAGTCCTGTAGCTCAGTGGTTAGAGCACTCGCTTTGCAAGTGAGAGACCTGAGTTCAATTCCAGGCAGAGGGCGAAACCTTGGGCAAGTTTCCTTACTCCACACAGAGCCTAATAATAATCCCTCCAAAACCAAAAACAATAATAAATTGGTCATTTTCAATCCACGACTGTTTGTGGGACATTGCTGTGCGCAATTGGCTGCCGCGTTCGCCCACAAATATGCAGTCAATTCACTTTACAGTGTATTCTGTGAAGCGCTTTGGGACGTCCTCCCGACGTGAAAAGCGCTCTATCAAAAGCAAGGATTATTATTATTGTTATAATTATGAAACCAACGTCCCGCACCGATTCTCGCTTTCAGCATCCGATCTGTGCAGACGAGGAGGATTTTTTCGCGCGGGGGAATAATAATAACGTGGATTCCAAATTGATTGTTGTGGTGTGGGGTGGGGGGTGGGGGGTGAGGGGGGAAATGTGGGGAGAGAAAGAGGGTTAAAGATTTGGACTGGAGAAAGGGTTAACAAGCAAATTTTTTAAAAAAAACCTGCCCTCCCCAGCGAGTTTCGAGGAGACAATAGTCGGCCAACCTAAAGATTTATTGTCTGCGGCCATACTTGGGTTGAGCAGCGCTGATGGTTGCTTTGCATCGACTCCCACCCCCCTCCTCCTCCTCCCCCCTCCTCTCTCTCTCTCTCTCCCCCCACTCACCCCAACCCCCTCCCCCTCCCCCCCCCCCCCAATCATTGCAAAACAATGTGGTGTGGGAGAGGATGCGATGGTTACTTTGTTGTAACTAGTTTTTAGAAGCAATCGGGACGGGTCTGGGAAGTATGAAGGAGATGGTGGGAGGCTGCTGCGTGTGTTCTGACGAGAGAGGATGGACTGAGAATCCTTTGGTTTATTGTGACGGACACGGCTGCAATGTGGCTGTGCATCAAGGTAAAGGGAGAGAGAGAGAGGGGGGGGTGGGGAGGGGGAGAGAGTGGGGGGGGTGGGGGAGAGTGGGGGGGGGGGTGAGGGGGGAGAGAGTGGGGGGGTGGGGGAGAGCAGGGGGAGAGAGTGGGGGGATGGGGGAGAGCAGGGGGAAAGAGTGGGGGGATGGGGAGAGCAGGGGGAGAGAGTGGGGGGGGTGGGGGAGAGCAGGGGGAGAGAGAGAGGGGGGGAGAGAGAGAGGAGTGGGGGGGAGAGAGAGAGAGGGGGGGTGAGAGGGAGAGAGGGGGAGAGCAGGGGGTGGGGGAGAGAAAGAGAGGAAGGGGGGAGAGAGAAAGAGAGGAGGGGGGAGAGAGGAGGGGGGGGAGAGAGAGAGGAAAACAGGGTTGATACTCGCAAGAGGATGTGATGCATTCACTCCCCTAATCCTCTCTCTCTCTCTCTCTCTCCGCGATCCTCTCTATACATTGTAACCGTTCGCGACTTTGTATCCATTTCTCGCGACTTTGTATCCATTTCCTACCGCAACCCCCGTGTGTCTGTGTGTGTGTGTCTGTGTGTGTCTGTGTGTCTGTGTGTGTGTGTGTGTCTGTGTGTGTGTGTCTGTGTGTGTGTGTGTCTGTGTGTGTGTGTATCTGTGTGTGTGTGTGTCTGTGTGTGTGTGTGTGTATCTGTGTGTGTGTGTCTGTGTGTGTGTATCTGTGTGTGCGTGTGTGTGGATGTGTCTGTGTCTGTGTGTATCTGTGTGTGTGTGTCTGTCTGTGTGTGTGTGTGTCTGTGTGTGTGTGTCTGTGTGTGTGTGTGTGTCTGTGTGTGCTGTGTGTGTGTGTGTCTGTGTGTGTCTGTGTGTGTGTCTGTGGTGTGTGTGTCTGTGTGTGTGTCTGTGTGGGTGTGTGTGTGTGTCTTGTGTGTACGTTTGTGTTCACAATGTAATGCCAAGCCGTGGGTTACATTGTGTGTTGCGGGTTGGGGGGGTTCGGGGGTTCGGGGTGGAAAAAAAATAGATCCCCAAGTTTCCACCGTTCGCTTTCATTTCTGGGTGTCGTTTCTACGTCGGTCGAGGCCAAGGCTATGTTGGTTTGATGCAGTGATGTGGTTGTCATTGCATCTTTTTTTAAAGAGAGAGAGATTGCATTATTTTCTTTTTATTTAATTTGGTTAAAAAAAAGGGTAGGGGCCAGGCAGGAAAAGGGTGGTGGTAGGGGAGGGGACATTATATGTATATATACACACGTATCTATAAGGTAGAGAAAAAAAACACGTGTTGTCTGTAAAAGCAAATTGATTTCCTTTATAACACACATGGTCTTTAAATCTGGAACTGGGTGCCCCCAGTGTTGTAATCAGTGCCCTAAACCTCTTATATTTATTTGTTTTTTTTAATTCTACAACGGGCAAAAGGCTCAATTTTGTGCGGCGTGAGATGAGTAACGGTGCTGTGAGTTGATTAGTGGTCAATAATCCCGTTAGCAAAATTAATTGGGTGGTGGGAGGCGGGTGGGTGGGGAGAACAGAAAAGTAACGGGGAGGAGTGTCGTTCTTACCTACGCTTGTCTTGTGATTGACGGCTGAAATTAACGTGTTTTCTTTAAGTTACATGCCTTGCTTCGAAGTTGTACCACGGCTTGAGGCTGGCTCGGGCGAATTTAGCTTTAGGCCATAGTTTTATTGCATATTTTTTAGAAAGTCCTTTTGTAAAAAGGAAAGCCGCTCTTAATAATTGCTTCCCGACTAAACCCTTGCCAATTGTGGGCTTGCGTGTCCCAAGCTATCGTCTTAAAAGGGAAGTTTGTGGTCCAGTAAAGTGTCTTTTGAGATTTGTACAGTGATGGGATGGGATGACAATGCCAGTCATAATAATAAATATACAGTAATAGTTGGAATCCGTGTACTTGATGGCAATTTATCACGTCATCCCGGTACACGTCAACATGTGTTGGCGTGTCCTCTGTTGTCTGTCAAGCTTTCCCGCTGCTTGACCAGCCAGGATCACCCTTACCCATTAGGGCTTTGGCTTGCAGGAGCTAAGTGGGAGGATTTCATGCCCCAGTGACTGGTCTGCCCTTCCAGGTCCTGCTGATGAGCCAGGCTGGCTGTGCTGTCAGCAGCAGTGCCCTGGGAGTACCATGGACCCACCTGGTTCAAGAACTGGACTACCGAGACCGCCACAGAGGGTTGGCTTGATCTAGTTCAGCTCCAAGGAGACCCCGGTTACTTGTGTGTACCTCAGTACGAGTATATACCTTCAGGAGAGAAGGAAGAGAGGGGCGGAGGGAGGAACCCCATTTTTTACACAAGTGAGCATGAACATGGTTATACATTGTCTAATATGTCTGTTTCCTCTCTGTTTTACAGCGTGTTATGGGATTGTTCAGGTCCCCACTGGCCCATGGTTCTGTAGAAAATGTGAATCACAAGAGCGTGCTGCCAGAGTGGTGTGTATTTGCCCAAATTTTTGTCTTGTCTGAGTTTTGAGTAGTTGTAGCATTATGTCAATCTTAGTAACTGTGGCTGAGTGTACACGTTGCACACGTTCACATTACGTTTCTAAACCTCACGTTTTATATGTCAAAACATGTAACATTAAAAAATCTCAAAGCGCTTCACAGAATTTGTAGGATCAAGCCACAAGTTCAGTGCTTCGAACTCACAGCTGACCCTCCCAATACAACGCTGGGGGAGCATTCCATTGTCAGAGATGATGTCCTTCAGATAAAACATTAAACCAACCTTCCATCGGAGCCTTATCGGATGGATGTCAAAGATTCCATGGCACTATTCGAAAACTGAATGAACTTTTTCCCGGTATCCTAACCAACAGTTGTTTAACAAAATCGATCATGTACTTCACGGCTATTTGTGGGTTAGTGCTACGCGCAAATTGGCTTCCGCATTTGTCTACAAAATACCACACTTTAGAGTAAATCCCTTTGAGATTTCTCAATTATGTGATATATTAAAGGTAAGGATTATCTTGAGTTTTTCACNAAAAAATATAATTCCTAGGATTATCCAATTGTAGGCTCAATCACAGGGACTTTAAATTAACCCAACTTCAAACATCTAAGATGATTAATAATTGATGTAGCACTTAAGTTAACTGAAACATTGAAGAGGTATGTTCTTACTTGATTTTTTTTAACGCAGGGGTTTGATAACAATTTGTTAACAATAATATTTGTTGAATTTGATACAGCACCTTTCATATCAGGGCGATGTCTCAAGCACTTCACAACATTTTACTCTAAACTATAGTGACTGCTGCGTATGTTGTAGGCAAACACGGCAGCTAGTTTGCGTACACCAGTGTCCCACAACAGCCATGGAGTGAATGACCAATTTTACCTGGGGGATTGTTGGCCAGGACACTGGGAGAGAGAAAATCCCTTATCTTTTTCGAATTTGTGTCACTGGATCTTTAACCGGGCAACAACAACTTGCATTTATGTAGCTCCCTTCATGCGCGACAGCGTTGGAACACTTAAGTAATAATCCTTGCATTTAATATAGCACCTCGTCCCATCGTTGAAACGTCTCAAAGCGCTTCACAGAATATATTGACTGTGTATTTTGTGGGTGAAACGCGGCAACCAACAGTGATGATCCACAAACAGTCGTTCCATCAATCGACTAACAACCGGGTTCCTACTTACTGCTCGGTAAACAGAGGCGTGTGGAGTAAGGAAACTTGCCTAACGTTTTACCCTGCCTGGGAATCGAACCCTGGTCCTCTCACTTACCAGGCGAGCGCTGTAAACCCCTCTGCTAACCTCCATGGCACAGATAGGACCTCAGTGTAATGCCCTGCCTCTGACAATGCATGTTCCCCCAACATCGCACTGGAGAACCAGCTTGAACTATGAATACTGGTGCCTGCTACGGTATTAACAGAGTATTAGGATTCTTCCAGTGGCCGCTTTCCCAGGGCCTCACTCTCATGGTGTGGGCTCGAATGGGGAATGTTACATATCATTGACTGTAATGCGTGCTGTTGTTTTTCAGCGATGTGAGCTCTGCCCCCACAAAGACGGTGCCCTCAAGAGGACAGATAATGGAGGTAAGGTGGAAAATTACACACTGCCTTGACATTTTACCTCCTGCTCTTTGGAACTCACTTTCAAAAGCCCTCCTTTGCCCCCTCTCTCACTGCATTCAAAAAAAAATTATACTAACAGTCCTACTAATGTGTGCAGCCAATTGCATATAGCAGTGTCCCATAAACAACCATGGATTGAGTGAGCACTTTTTTGGGGGGAGGAATTATTCCTACTTACTGCTAGGTAAACCGAGGTTGTGTGGTGTAAGGAAACATGCCTTGAGACTAACCTCTTTTCCGCGATGTTCTCCCCACGTGAAGGGTGCAATATCAATTCAATTGTCCGGTTAACCTGGGGGATTGTCGGCTGAGATACGGAGAGAAACTCCCTTCTCCAGCACCAGCGGGATCTTTAACATCCACCTAAACATGGAAGGACTTTGGCTTAACATCTCATTTGAAGATCGGTGGGTCTGAAAATGCTTTCCCCCTGGAGGTGGCCGCCTGGACTGTGAGCTCAAAGTTCCTAATGTGGGGCTTGAAAGCACAACCTTCTGATTTTGGAGACTAGAGCGCTCCCGGTTGAGCCAAGCTGACTCTGGCCTGAGGTTATTTCAGTTGATGATGATAATAATGATAATCCTTGCATTTGATATAGCGTCTTAGCACATCTCCCAGAAACAGCAGCCAGTTGCACCCAGCAGTGTCCCATAAACTTTGTGGATTGAGTGACCAAATTATTATTATTCATTTTGGGATGGGGAAGGGCAATAACAGTAACATTAGCATTACAGATGTATAATGTACAGTTGTTTGACTGACACAATGTCTGCCCACAGCTTTACAGTGTGAATGTGACAGAGTTTGGACTGTGTTCGTGTCGCGTGTTAAATCTTTTCCTCCTCCTGCCCTCTTATGTGATCTCCAGGCTGGGCCCACGTTGTCTGTGCTCTGTACGTCCCTGAAGTACAATTTGCCAATGTTATCAGCATGGAACCCATCGTCCTGCAGTATGTGCCCCACGAACGCTTCAACAAGGTAAAGCATCCTGAGTTCCTGTTGTACTGGATATGTTCATATTATAATAATAATAAAATAATAATCCTTGCATTTGATCCAGTGCCTTATCACGTATTCTAGACGTCTCAAAGCGCTTCACAGAATATACTGTAAAGTGAATTGACTGTATATTTTGGGGCAAAATGGGGCAGCCAGTTGCGCACGGCAGTGTCCCACAAACAGTTATGGATTGAATGACCAAATTATTATTTTTTGAAGGGAGTATTACCCCCAGAAAAGCGATCTACCAATCGACTAACAACCGGGTTCCTATTTACTGCGAGGTAAACAGGCGTGTGGAGTAAGGAAACGTGCCCAACATTTTCCTCTGCCTGGAAATCGAACCCAGGTCCCTGAACACCATTCACCCAGCGAGCGAGAAGATTTGGGTTTGATTCCTGGGCAGGGCAAATTTTTAGGCAAGTTTTCTTATTCCACAAGCCTCTGCTTACCCATCAGTGAGTAGGAGCTCGGGTGTTAGTCGATTGGTGGATCGCTTTTCTGGAGGTAAAAATCCCTTCAAAATAAATAAATATAATAATAATTTAGTTGTTCAATCTACAACTGTTTGTGGAACACTGCTGTGCGCAATTGGCTGCCGCGGTTCGTCCACAAAACATAGTCAATTAACTTTACAGTGAAGCACTTTGAGGTGTCCCAACAATGTGATAAGGCGCTATATGAAATGCAAGGATTATTATTTTGTTATTATAAGAGGGTTCCACTGCAATAGTGTTGACTGGAAGAGTTGGGCTGGTGTTTGCAGCCACGTGTCTCACTGAAAGCCCGACAACAGACAGTGCAGTGGGGTGAGGGGTGAGTTCCAGATGCCAAACATCGTTAAGAGGGCAGGAGTGAGCCTCCAAAAGTCAGCAGGCTGAGAAGATGCCGATAATGATAATAATAATAATCGTTGCGTTTGATAAGTATCTTTTTCATGTCGGTCGGATGTTCACAGGATATACTATAAGGCGGAGTGACTGTGAAACTGTGTTGGGTGAGCGAATGCAGCAAATCAATTTATCACACAGCAATGTGCCATCAACAGGGATGAAGTCACTGATCAATTTTTAGCTGGCAGATTGTTGGTCAGGACACAGAGAGAATGTCGAATAGTGCCATTTACCTGAACGGGTTTAACATCTCATTTAAAGGATGCCAGCACACCTCCAGCACTGTATTGGAGTGTCAGTTAAGACACGGAGCTTGAACCCACAGTCTTCTGACTCCGAGAGTGCTACCAATTGAGCCAGGCTGACACAGGATATAATAATAATGTATTTGATATAGCACTTTATTACGTCGTTCAGACATCTCAAAGCGCTTCACAGGATATACTGTAAAGTCATTTGACTGTATTTTGTGGATGAACATAGCAGCCTGTTGCACACAGCAATGTCCCACAAATATCTATACAGTGAGTGAACAATTTTATTTTAATGATAATAATAATCCTTGCATTTCATATAGTACCTTTAACATCATCGAGATGTCTCAAAGTGCTGCGCAGGAATTACTGTAAAGTGTAGTGACCGTATTTTGTAGGCGAACGCAACAGGCAGTACGCACACAGCAATTTTTCACAAACAGCCTGTGAAGTGATCAGCCTGATATCTTACACGTGGAAACCCATCACTGTGTTCAAGAGCATTCAAACCTGTCAAGAGACTGTGTATTTTGTGGACGAAACTTAGCAGCCAGTCGAGCACACTGGTCCGTACTAACAATCATGGACTGAGTGATTTTTTTTTTGGGGGGGAGGGAGTATTAACCCTGGAAAGCGATCCGCCAATCAACTAAAATACCTTTATTAGATTCCTACTTACTGCTAGGTAAACAGAGGCGTATGGAGTAAGGAAACTTGCCTAAGATTTCACCCTGTCCTGGAATCAAACTCAGGTCCTCTCGCTTGCGAGGCAAGTGCACTAACCATTATGTTATGGGTTTTGGGATGTCCTCCCAACTTGAAAGCTGCTATATAACTGCTAATTGTATTGCGATTGGACCTTCAGAACCAGGCTTTCAATCCTTAATTGCCAGCGGTGGTGTTCTTTGCTTTCAGACATGTTACCTGTGTGAGGAACAAGGCCGGGAGAGCAAGGCAGCCACTGGAGCTTGTATGACCTGCAATCGGCACGGGTGTCGACAAGCCTTTCACGTCACCTGGTGAGTAACTCATGGTGGGCATTCCTGCGCCTTGACTAATAACGTAACGCAGAGTTACATTGAGTGATACAGCACGAAAAACAAGTCATTTGGCTTAACAAGTCCTTGCGGGTGTTTGTATTTAACAGACCTCCACCCCTCCTTGTCCCCTTGCCAACCCCTCCCCACCCCCTTCCATATGCATCGAGTTTCCTCTTAAATACGTTCTTGGTTTTTGCTGAAACCACAGTTTCCGACAGTCAGTTCCACATTCTCACTAACCACTGTGAAAGGAAGTTCTTCCTAAACCCCGTAATTAGACTAGAGTTCTGTACTGCATTGGTTAGAACATTCGCCTCGCAAATGAGAGGACCTGGGTTCGATTCCCATGTGGGGCGAAACCGTACGCAAGTTTCCTTACTGCTCATGCCTCTGCCTACCTAACAGTAAGTAGGAACCCAGTTGTTAGTCAATTGGCAGATTGCTTCTCTCCAAAAAAAGTAATAATAATAATTTGGTCACTCAATCCACGGCTGTTTGTGGGACACTGCTGTGTGCAATTGGCTGCCGCGTTTCGCCCACAAAATACACAGTTAATTCACTATATACAATATATTCTGTGAAGCGCTTTGAGATGTCTCAATGACGTGATAAGTACTATATCAAATGCAAGGATTATTATTATTAGATCTGCTACTGGCTAAGATTTGTTTTTACTGTCAATAAGTGGAAACAGTCTATCAATGACCACCTTATCAAATTAGTTCATAACCTTAAACACCTTGCTCAGGTCCCTTCTCAATTGTCTCAACTCCAGAACAGTCGCAATAGTCTTAATTTGACACTTGTGCTAACTATGTGGAAGAGGAAATTACAGCTGCCATTCATAACTTGCGTTCATGACACTGCCTCTCACATAGAACAAACAGCAACTTGCATTTATACAGTGCCCTTCTCGCCGGATAGCGTCTCTGAGCGCTTTACAGTGGTGGAACTTGAATCCGAACTAGGGAGAGAGGAGAGGTGAGCGAAGGAGATGGGTAGCGGAGTAGGGTGTGAGCAGGTTGGAGAGATGGGAAGGTGCAAGGGCATGAATCGATTTTGTAAATAAGTGTGAGGATCTTGAAATCGATTTGTTCTGCAACAGGGAGCTAGTGGAGTCTGGCAAAGACCTGGGTGATGGGGGGAGTGGGGTTTGGTGCAGGTGAGAAATAGGCAGCGGAGTTTTGAATAAGTTGGAATGTGTGGGTGGTAGAACTGGGGAGATAGGCAAGGACAGCATTGAAATAATTGAGGCGGGAGGTGATGAATGGAGGTTTTCAGCTAGGTTTGGTGTGAGGTCTGGTCAGAGGGGTATGATGTGGCGAAAAGCTGTCCTGGTCAGGGACTGGTTGTAGGGTAGGAAGGACAGCTGGGGATCGAACCAGACACCTACGTTGCACACAAAGTCAGTGAGGAATAAGCTGGGGAGGTTAAGGAAGATGGAGCCGCAAATTTGAGATGGGTCGGTAGTTTGCAATTTGGAAGGATCGAGAGTGGGGCTTTGGGAGAGCGGTGATAGCAGCAGTTTTGATGGAGATAAGGACAGTGTCTGTGGAGAGGGATGGGTTAACTGTCTGCCAGCAGGGGGCAGAGGAGAGGAGCAGATGAGTGGTCAGCAGCTGGGTGGGATGGGGCGGGGTGGGGGGCTCAGGGCATTGGGCACTCATCTCGCAAGCAAAACGAACCAGGGCAGGGCAAACCCTTAGGCAAGTTTCCTTAATCCACAAGCCTCTGTTTACCTAGTAGTAAGTAGGAACCTGGTTGTTAGTCGATTGGCAGATCGCTTTCATAATAATCCCTCAAAGAAAATTGGGTCATTCAATCCATTACTGTTTGTGGGATATTACCTTGCACAATTGGCTGCCACTTTTCACCCACATAATACACAGTCGCTTCACTTTCCAATATTCTCTGTAAAGCAGGCTTAGACGTCTCATTAAATGCAAGCCTTATTATTAGTGTTGTGATGACGTTGGGTTGCATATGGATGATGTTTAAGAAGGGAAATGTATAAGGAGAGAGATATGGGAGCAAGGGTTGCAGTGGTAGGAACAGTGCTGGAAAATGCGAGTAATATAGAATATATGGGGGAGGAGTGCTGGGAGACCAGGCGGAGGAAGAGGAGGCAGCCAGGCAGATGTTGTCTCTGGAACCTCTTCTCACTTGGCATTTGAAGTGAGGATCAAGGCAGCTTGAGGGGCAGACGGAGGAGGTGATATGTGATGGAGAACAGGATCTTGGGATTATTTTTGGTCTACAGGATGGCCTGGGAGCAGAATGTGGTTTGGGCCTGTGCGAGGGAGAGGAGGTAGGTTCGAAGATGCTCGAGCCACATCTGGTGGTGAACCATGAGGCTGTTTTTGTACTATCTGCGCTCGAGCGTCCGGGTTTGGATTTAAGGGGGCGGAGGTGGCTATTATACACGGGGGAGCAGGTGGGGTTGGAGGTGGCCATGGATTTCGGGGGGGCGGGGGGGAGCAAGGGAATCGAAAGTGGAGGAGAGCCAATTGCTTAGCAGCTTAACGGGTAACAGCTGCTAAGAAGTTCCGAGGACTCCGAATAGCTGAAAACATCTCAAAGCACTTTACAAAACGGAATTAATAATAATGTGACAATCCTTGGATTTGATGTAGCGCCTCGTCAGGAGAATGTCTCAAAGAACTTTGCAGCATTTACTGTATAGAAACCAACTTGTGTTTATATAGCGCCCTTCACGTGGGGCAGCGTCCCGGAGCGCTTAACAGTGGCGGAGCCTGACTCCCCAAGTGGGGGAGGGATGGGGTAACCATAAGAGAAAGATCTTCAGTTGTGATCTAAAAGAGGGGAAGGAGGGGGCAAGGCGGAGGGATTGGGGGAGAGAGTTCCAAAGCTACGGGGTGTAGTGGCTGAAAGTGCGGCCGCTGATAGTGGAGCGGACGAGGGACAAGCAGGAGGCCAGAGACAGCAGAGCGGAGGCAGTGGGTAGTGGAGTGCGGAGAAAGCAGGTGAGAAAGGTAGGAAGGTGCCAGGGTGCGAAGGGATTTATAGAAAGGATTTTGAAATCAATCCGTCTGAGATACGGAGCCAGTGGAACCTGGCGAGGACTGTGTGATGGGGGTATGAAGTTTACAACAACAAATTGCATTTGTATAGCCCCTTTCATGTCAGGAGGAGGCCATTCGACACATTGAGTCTGTACTGGGTCTCAGAGCAATGTGTTCATTCAATCCCACTGCCATGTCCTATCTTCAAGCCTCTTATCATACACCTGTCTATTTCCCTCTTGAAACCCACAGTGGACTGTGCCTCAACCATCTCATCTGGCAGGGGCGTACCCCGTCCCAACCACTCTCTGTGAAAAAAAATTCTCCTAAGCTCTTGTTTCACTCTTCTTGGGATCTTCCTGGGATCTTATATCTATGTCCTCTCGTTCCTGCCTCCCCCACTGTAAAGTGTAATGAATAATATGTAGATGAATTGGCCTTGAATTGTCTGATGTGGTGGTTCCGCAGTGCTCAGATGGCAGGACTCCTGTGTGAGGAACAAGGCTCGGAGATAGACAACGTCAAGTACTGCGGCTACTGCAAGTACCATTTCAACAAAGTGGTGAGTGACCGTGAGTGCAAACTGGGCACTGTGTGTCCAAACGTTGTACAGTCTTCATGATTATTTATCTTTTTGTCCTTTCCGTGTCCTGCAGCACTGTGTGAACATGTGTGTCTCGCACTCGCCATTGTCCTTGTGTGGTCTTCACCCCCTTTCCCCCCCCCCCCTACACCATGACTGTCTTAACTAACAGATGAGGAAGGTTCCAGGTTCGGTCCTGGTCTGCGCTGAGTTTGATGAAATCAGCTGAAGTGGGTTTCTGATTGACTACAGTACGAAAGGCTGGTCAGATTTCCCAGTCAGTAACCATTCGTTTTGCCCACAAAAGGTACAGTCAATTCACTTTACAGTGTATTCTGTGAAGCACTTTGAAACGTCTTGCAGATGCGATAATGCGATCTATCAAATGTAAGGATTATTATTACTGGGGAAACAGTGCCCTGGGTGGGGGTATACAGACTCTGTTAGATGGGGGAGAGGGGCAGTGACCATATGGAACTGACTGCTTCTGTTATTTATTGGAGGACGAGGGCTGTGTGTGACATGCACAGCCTGTGCTTTATAATGCAAACACCACAGATAACAGTAGCTTGACTGGACCCTCAGAGCATTTGCTAACCATCACTTGCACCTGTCGAGAGGATTCCTGCAGGGCAAATAGTGAGAGTGTTTGCACTGGTCGACCAGTCAGTCACAAGAGAATTGCAGGAATGTCAAAGACAACCGCAGAGTGAATGGAAGGGGAAGTTAGAAACTAAACCTGTGTGGAATCCTCACACAAACCTTTGTTTGTAGATTGAGGTCCATTAATTATTTTACAAGGAAATTACAGTGTACAGTCCTGTAGCGTAGTGGTTAGCCCTCGCAAGCGAGAGGACCCGGAATCGATCCCCAATGGGGCAAAACCTTAAGCAAGTTTCCTTACTCCACACGCCTCTGTTTACCCAGCAGTAAGTAGGGTTATTTGTCAATTGGTCGATCGCTTTCCAGGGGTAATAATCCCTATATATAAAAAAAATTGGCCTCAATCCATGACTGTTTGTAGGACACTGCTGTGCGCAATTGGCTGCCACCTTTCGCCCACAAAATACACAGTCACTACACTTTCCAATATATTCTATGAAGTCTCAACAATGTGATAATGGAATCAAAAGGAAGGATGATTATTACAACAAAGGACATGGTACAGAGCTACATGGTATTATATGGTACAGAAACCGGCTACTTGGACCAATTTAATCTGTGCCGTGTTTATACTCCACACAAGCCCCCACCCCCTCTACTCCACTCTCCTGTACCCTCTTCCCTTCCCCCTCATGTGTACCTCAAGTTTATCTTCGATGCTTAAAGATGCTTTGATGCTTAAAGGTTGAAATACTTTGATGCTTTTTGCTTCAACCACAGTTTCTGACATTAATGCAATAGGTGTGTACGATGCTTAGAGGGGAGGAGAGTTTGGGCAGAGTGGAGAAAAACACCAAAGTAGGCTGGTTGGCTGAACAGCCCATTTTGTGTGCTGTAATGTTCAATTTTCCATAGTTCCTCCCCCAATACAGGCTGACGTTAGGTGGAGATTTCGAGGCCTTATCCTGTTTTAAGCCACAGCAAAAATACTTTCATTCACAAAATGTACAGTCTTGACTTTGCAGTATATTCTGTGAGCGCTTTGAGACATCTCGATGACGTGATAAGGCACTATTCAAATGCAAGGATTATTATTAAGATAGCATTGCATTTGATATAGCACTTATTAAGTTGTATTATTAATAATAATCCTTGTATTTGATGTAGCGCCTTATCACGTCTTAGACACGTCTGAAAGCGCTTCCCAGGATATACTGTAAAGTGGATTGACTGTAATTTGTGGGCGAAACGAAGAAGCCAGATTCGCACAGCAATGTCCCACAAACAGCCAGATTATTATTAAGAAGAAGCAGAAAATCATGCTCTTTGCTTTGCCTGCCTTAAGCTTTTTCTTTGGTTCTGTAGAAGAAATCTCGTCACTCCGCAAACAGTGCTTATGATCAAGGGCTCAGCGACTCATCCACCCATTCCCAGGATAAACTAAGCTCCCTTCACGACAAACAGCGAAAGGTACGTGTGCTGGTTTGACCTTTCTTGCTGTCACTGTGAGCTGGGAAGTTCTGACCAAGAGACAGGGAGTCTCGGAGGTCAAGAAACAATGCGTTGCAATCACACCCCTCATCAGGCACCGTGTCTAAAAACTCCTCACCCCTGTGACTGAGCCTTACTCAATATCCGCAGAGGAACACTGTCTCATGATCAGAAGTGGGATTTTGCTATAGGGATTTTATAATATTATAACTATACATAAAACCTGATATATATGTTATATTTATAATATATAAATATATACAGTAAATCTCACATAAGTCGTATCAGTTGGGACCATATATTTAATATGACTTATAATATATATTATATGTATGATTTTGCTGTGCCTTAGAATGCGTTAAGGCTACAAAACCTCCACCGAACCTCAGCCAGTACGGGGGCGGGCGGGGGTTGAGTTCGAAGACATGAGTTTTGTCTTAAAACCAGGGAATTGTGGAAATTCTACAATATTCAGTTCTCAATTTGGACGCCTACTTCCTTTTAAATTTTTTAAATTAAAAATGTTTGATTTTTGGGGGCCTGATATTGCCTGAAGTAACCCCCCCCCCCCCCACCCCTTTACCTGGAGTCAAATCCACAGCCTTGTGGTCTATGGGGCTCAGCTAAGTTTAGAACCATTTATTCAATTGTATGGAGTGTAGAAATTTCAAACCAATTCCAGCCAAAGAATTAAGTGTGCATTGGTTACATAACATGTAGGGGTCAACAGACTGTGCCACTGAGAAGCACTCTGAGGTTATCCTACTTGATGGGCACTGTTAATAACAAGTTGTTATATTCCATGCTTGTTATCTGTTGGGGATGATGTGAGATACTGTGTTACAAGCTGTGGTTTTCTCTAAATTGTGTGCGGATTATTGCCAGCTCAAATGGGTTGGATTTCACCACTTCAGACGCTGCTAAGCTCTGTCATGGTTTGGCCGGTGTCAGTGGTGTTTAGGGGCAATGGGATTAAGTGGACCGAAGGGTGTTCTTCATCTCTCCTGACTTCTTATGATGCAATTCAAAGTATGTGTGGTCGGGAGATTGCAAGTTGGTTTGGTTTGTCTGTGTGACTCCTTCCTGCTGCTTGTTCGGCAAGGACCACCATACCCTTTAAGGCTTTGGCTTGCAGGGTTAACAGGAGCTGAGTGGGATGGTCTACCCTTTCAGGTCCTGCCGATGAGCCAGGCTGGCTGTGCTGTCATCAGCAGTGCCTTGGAGTACTGCAGACCTGCCTGGCTCAGGAACCAGATCCCCTCCATTTGTATTGATTGGTTCCCCAATGGCTGTAGTCTGTAGGTACCTGGTAACCCATGAGATGGATTCTCCAATGGCTGTGTTGAATTGGAATAAATCGCTTCTCTCTGGCACCTCCCTACCTCTCTGATCTCATCCTACCCAATCTTCCCCTTGGCTAACACGTCCCTGCCCTCTCTGCTCAACTATCAGTGGCTGAGCCTTCAGTTCGTTCAACCCCTAACCTCTGGAACCACCCTCTGCCTCGCCCCCTCTCTATCCGTCTTAAATTCCTGCCTCAAAATCTACCTCCTCAACCGTGCTTATGGTCACCTCCTAACTCTCCTCCACTTCTCTATTGGACACCCGACCTCGTCACTGTGAAATACTGTGAGACATTACCCTATGTGAAAGGCCCTGTTAATAGCAAGTTGTTGTTATTGGATTCCTGGTAAGCTGTCGGATGGATTAGAAGCCGCTTTCGGGAATGAGCATACCGTGTTGTACAAATGTTCCAAAAGAAATCCAGATTTTTTTAAAATATAAAGAAGAAGTGCCGTGCTTTGGATGAGATGTTAAACCGAGCTCCCGTCTGCGATCGGTTCAGGTGGACGTAAAAAATTCCGCAACGTTATTGGAAACGAAAAGGGAGTTTCTCTCTTCCGTTATCCTGGTCGACAATCCCCCGGTAACGTCGCTCGCTCGCTTCATGGTGTTTGTAGGACACCGCTGTGCTCAGCTTGGCTGGTCACATTTCTCAAGGCTCTCCTCTTCGACCACACGTTCGGCCACCTTCCCCGGCCTCCATCCTCCCTGATCGCAACACCTGCCCGGCTCGGGTCCCTGACTGTCCAGCGCCTTGGGATGTCCTCCTGACGTGAAAGGCACTGTGTCAATGTAATTTGTGTTGTGTGTGTATTGAGTAGTGCGTGGCTATTTGTGGAAGGCTTTGGACCACCAGGTCCCAATTTCGAGTCCATTCTCGACCCCGATAGTGTTATGTTCTGTTAACCGCTTCCCTTTCTTCCTGTCATCTGACAGGAAGCTGTGCAGTATATTGCTCCCACTAATAGCTACAGATTCAAACAGGAAACTCTCTAAGAGGCCGTGTATATAAAGAGAACAAAACCTACAGTTACTGGTCCATGGAGTTTCGAGCGTGTTTATGACCTGGGAGAACAAGCTCTCCTGTGGTTTACACCATCTCTCCTTCTTTTCCTTTTTAAGAACGACAGAAAACCCGCTTCAAAATTGAAACCGAATTCAACAATTTGCCCAATTCCGAAAACGCCCTAAAATCCCACATAATTGGAATAAATTGGGAGTCGTCAACTGTGTTGCAAACTGTGCGTTATATCCCCACCACCACTGCGCCTTATAGTTGGATAATTCGGAGAGACTGATGGAAGAACCAGGTTCAGTCCTATACTCCATCCCAGTCCCTTGCTGATAGACATAACTATTCCAATATTAATAATAATCCTTGCTTTTGATACAACGCATTTCACAGGAAACTGTCTCAAAGCGTTTCACAGGATGTACTGTAAAGTGTAGTGTTATAAGTCAATGTCCATAGACCAAATTCTGCACCAGCAATGTCCCACAAACAGCCATGAAGTGAGTGACCAATTTTATTTGGGAGATTGTCGACCAGGCCACCTAGAGAGAGAGAAACTCCCTTCTCTTTTCGAATAGTGTTGCGGGATCATTAATATTCGCCTGAAAAAATTATTTATTGCTCGGGGTTGAGATGTGATCACTGAGATGTGGGAGTTTGTATTAAGACAAAGTCCTGTGCCTCTTCAAGTTGACGTCAAAGTTCCTGCGGCACTCTCGGGAACTTTGTCCCCGTGTCTGAGACAACAATCCTTTAGATAAATTGATTGTTCACTTCATGGCTGTTTGCTGGACATTGCTGTGTGCAAATTATCCCTGCATTTGTCTACACATTTCATAGTTGCTAAACTGGATAGAAATTGCCTGCGATGCATTTCAGGTGTTTAATTGTTCTGATCACAGAATCAAATGCAAGTGATTATTATTATTAATAACAATAACTATCCACGGAGAGCTGCCAATGTAGATAACGCTATAGAAATGCAAGTTTCTGACTGGTGTGTTTGTGTGGATGCATTGGTTAGAGCACTTGTCTTGCAACCAATTCTGCTTCGATTCCTGGTTGGGGCGAAACCTTAGGCAAGTTTCCTTACTCCACACGTCTCTGTTTACCTAGCAGTAGGTAGGAACCCGGTTGTTAGTCGATTTTGAAGGATCGCTTTCCAGGGGTAATAATAATCCCTTTAATTCTTTTTTAAAAAATCGCTCAATCAACAACTCAATCTGTGGATCCACGACTCAATCCATGACTGTTTGTGGGACACTGCTGTGCGTGATTGGCTGCCACGTTTTGCCCACAAAATAGACAGTCACTCCACTTTACAGTATATTCTTCACAATGTGATAAAGCTCTATTTAAGTGATTACTATTTAAGGCGGAGGGGACTATGGGTGGTCAGGCTGCCAGTCAGTCTCTTGTTCCCTTCCTCTCGTGTGTTTTTTCCCCCCCTCGGGGACCCTTTGATCAGAGACTATTGAGGTTTTGCCCTTTAATGACATATGGGACATCACAAGGAAGACTTCAAAAGACCCTCCTCAGTGACAGTGACCACATGAAAGGGTTGTTTGTCGTGGGCAGTCAGTGATGGGAGGGGAAAATATCAAACATCGCATCAGAGCTGGAGCTTCCTGTATTTAAAGCTACTGAGGTTTGTTCATATGTTCAGGGGCTGAATGTCTCCTGTTTTTAGGCACTTCATGGGTTTTTGTCAATAATAATAATTTAAAGACTGTGAAACTATTATGGTGGCTTGACAAAATACATGGTAAACAAAATAGCAACGTCCTGTAAAATGCAGCTATTTACCGAAGCTCAAATATATTTAAAAAAGTAACATACATTCATATGTAAAGTGGCAGTGCTATTGCTCTGGCTGACCATCACTGAAACCAGTAAGAAACTACCTCTACAGAGAGATTTAAACTGTAATAACATAATAATAATAATATTCCTTGCATTTGATATAGCACTTTATCACGTCGTTGAAGTCTCAAAGCGCTTCACAGGATATGCTGTAAAATGCAGTGACTGGGTATTTTGTGAGGGAAATGCAGCAGCCAGTTTGCACACAGTAATTTCCCACAAGCAGCCATGGAGTGAGTGACCAATTTTATTTGGGGGATTGTTGACCAGGACAGCGGGAGAGAGAAACTCGCTTATCTTTTTGAATAGCGCCGTGGGAAATTTAACTTCCACCTGAACAGGCAGACGGGACCTCGGCTTAATGTCCCGTCCAAAGGACGGCACTTCTGACAATGCAACACCCCCACCCCCCCAACTACTGTATTGGAGCATCATCTTAGATTGTGTGATTCCAAATCCCGATGTGGGGCTTGACCCCACAATCTTCTGACTCGCAGGCGAGAGCGCTACCACCTAGCCAAGCCGACACACAAGTGTGGTGACTGTGTATTTTGTAGGCAAATGTAGCAGCTAGTTTGGGCACAGCAACATCTCACAAACAGGCGTGAAGCCAATGACTAGTTCTGGATGTCTCTTTCTTTACCCCACACCCACCCTGAGCGTCAACCTAGACTGTGAGCTCACAGTCCAGTCCCTGAACCCAGCACCTCCTGATTCCAAGGCGAAAGTCGGGAGACGGGATACAATGCAGGGCGAAGGG